TGAAGCTGGACCCGTTCCTTATACCATATATTAATACAAAAATCAACTCAAGATGGATTAAAGATTTACATGTAAAATTCAAAACTATCAAAACTTTGGAAGACAACCTAAGCAATACCACCCTGGACATAGGAACAGACAAAGATTTCATGGCAAAGATGCCAAAAACAATAGCAACAAAAGCAAAATTTTACAAATGGGATCTCATCAAACTTAGCTTCTGCACAGCAAAATAAATTATTAACAGAGTCAACAGACAACCTACAGAATGGGAGAAAATATTTACAAACTATGCATCTGACAAAGGCCTAATATTCAGCATTTATAAGGAAATTAAACAAATGTATAAGAGAAAAAATCACCACTAAAAAGTGAAAAAAGGACATGAACAGACACTTTTCAAAGGAAGACATATGTGTGGCCAACAAGCATATGAAATAAAGCTCAATATCACTGATTATTAGAGAACTGCAAATCAAAACCACAATGAGATATCACCTCACACAAGTCAGAATGGCTATTACTAAAAAGTCAAAAAATAACACATGCGAGTGAGGTTGAAGAGAAAAGGGAACATTTATGCACTGTTGGTAGGAGGGTAAATTAGTTCAACCATTATGAAAAGCAGTATCGTGATTCCTCAAAGAGCTAGAAGCAGAACTACTATTCAACCTAGCAATCCCATTACTGGATATATTCCCAGAGGAATATATATATATATATATATATATATAAAATTCTATCATAATTATATATATATATAATTCTATCATAAAGACACATGCATGTGAATGTCCATTGCAACACTGTTCATGAAAGCAGACATGGAATCAACCTAAATGCCCATCAGTGACACATTGGATAAAGAAAATGTGGTACATATACATCATGGAATAATATGCAACCATATAAAAGAATGAGATCATGTCTTTTGTGAGAACAAAATTCTATTATCCTTAGCAAATTAACACAGAAACAGAAAACCAAAGATCACATGTTCTCACTTGTAAGTGTGAGCTAAATGATGAGAACTCATGAACACAAAGAAGAAAACAACTGACACTGAGGTCTTCTTGAGGGTGGAGGGTGGCAGGAAGGAAAGGAGCAGAAAAAATAACTATTGGGCACTAGGCTTAATACTTATGTGATGAAATTATCTGTGCAACAAACTCCCACGATAGGAGTCTACCTACCTATATAACAAACCTTCGCATGTTCCCCTAAACCTGAAAGTTAAAAAAACAAAAAAGTACAAATCATATACATAACAAATGGGAATTGGTAGACTCATATAGCTCATGTGAAGATTATTTTAATGATATTCTGATAGATTCCATTAACAGCTATGAAGTTGTTACAGCTTCTTAGATTTTGCAATGTATTGTCACCTTGGCTTTTATGTTTTCAATCCATGATCATCAGATTTTACTGGTCATGTTTTGGAAGCATACTTGTTGTCTGTTTTGTGTCTCCATACCCCTCACCTAACTACGGTTTTGTTCTTATGCTATGTACCTAGTGACTAAATTTCTACTCAGTTGTGTCCCTGAAGAGTTTGTAATGTAATGAATTAACCACTTTCCCTGTAATTTATGCATACATTTATATACTGAACTGTAGTTTAATCAAACTCCTTTGCCTTGTGTAGTATAGTAGCAATGTCTAATGAAAACATATGAAGTATGTGTTTCATAATTACCCCAGACAGCTCATTTTGGTTTCCTTCCTACTTAATCCCAAAATTCTTATCTTCCTGTACTGTAAACACTTTCCTTCCCTTCTCATCAATCTCAGTTATGTAAATGAAACAGGGGTGGTTGCACAATTACTGGGTGTTTTTCTGGGTATTATAAAAGGCCGATTCTCAAACAGCTGACAAGGGCACCCACTAAAAGTGATCCTTTTGTTTGATTGAAAGGTTGAAGCAGATCCAAGTTAGAGAGAACTTTGCAAACTCCATTGGAGGAGTGCCACAGGGGTCAGTGTATGTCAAGTGTATGGTGGAAACATGGTTCATGAGGACGCGCCCCACTGCTGGGAATGAACCTCATTCAGTACACAGTACTGTATGTTCTCCAGGGCACATTAAGAGAAAAGCCATCCCAGTAATATTACTGTCTTCACCTTTCTTTAAATTTTCACAGCTAGTTTAAGTGTCTTTTCCCTTATTTTTTTTTTCAGGATAATATCTTTTCTGTCTTTTCCTTCTAAGAGGAAAACAATATTTCACATTCCCACATTCAACATTCCAGAACCTGTTGAAAGAAGATGCAAATCATCTTGAAAATAGAATAGTGGAAAATCACACTGCTACTTGAAGGCAGATATTCTTAGTACCTACTGACTGATTTCAGGTCAATTAAACAATCTCTAAAGTTTCAGTTTCCTCATCTGCAAAAAGATAATGTCAGCTATCATTGTAGGTTGCCGTGAGAAGAAAAACATAAGCAATGCCTAGAACGATGCTGGGTACTACAAGACCATATGCTTTTTCTTCTTCCTTTCCGTTTTCTGTCTACCAAGTAAGATATTCATTTGTTTGATATCATTTTTGGAACACATTATATAACAGGCACATGTTGGAACCTGGGATTAGAGCATGACCATTAGCCAAATGAGTGTGACTGTCTAACAGAGAGGATAAACATTAACCAATGAATAACACACAACTTACATTTTCCAATTCTGTGTATTCTAAAGGAAAAACCCAGGATATGCTGGGATAATTTGAACAGAGAAGAGTAACTGAGGTCATCAGGGTAAATAGGATTGAATTACCTTAAGAGCGAAAAGGGAGGAGAAGAAGTTTCCATGCAGGAAGAATTTGAAACCTGAAAAGTATCTCCTAAACACATTAGGATAAGAAGTTTTCAGATTTATCATGAAGACCTCCAGGGAATGATTTTGCACTTTTCTTTGGCAACCTATTCTAGTGTGTGTCTTTTTGTTGTTGCTGTGGGGGAGGTAGATTATAACATATAATGCAGGAAACACTATGTAACTGTTTGTAGAATATATCCTATGGTAATATGTGGCAATATAATGGATTATTAATTTGTCTTTTATTCTCATTGCATTTTCCCTTTCCTAAATGAAACGGCCTGGTCTGAAAGTCCTTGTTTCAAAGTATAATAAAAATTTACTGGGATATAAAGGCTAGAAGACTGATAAAATTTGAAGTCACTGGTTATGGAAAGGAGGTAGAGGTAAAGGTAGAAGGACTATCAGCAGGAGGAGAAGAAAAATAAGGAGGAAAAATCTTTTGATAATGTCTAAAATTGCATTCTCTTTCATTACCAAATAAATGAATTAGATTTAGTTTGATTTTTAAAAAATGGACAAATGTTATGCTTCTTATGCTTTCACATTTGTAGAATAAAATTCACAGTCTCTACAATAAGAAAATCATTGCTTAAGCGAAGTTCTTTTGATATCTCCAACGTGTAGAGCTTTCTCTATAATGTGCAAACCAAACCCTGTGTTGGGCTGAAGTTGGCACCATTGCAGAGCCATGTTAATATATCCCTAGAGCTATGAGTTGTGCAATAGGCCCTCCCAAGCCTGCTATCCTCTAGTTCCTCCTGGACAGTTCACACCCACCGACTGGTGTCATTGCAGGGCACATGGTGTGGCTAGTCATTATTAAATAACTGGTGGATAACTTGGTAAAATGTAACTCTCGTATAGCCCTTGTGCCTAAATTTCTTTTTGAAATACAAAAACCAGTCCAATTCACCATGCATATGTAAAATTCACCTAATGTAAAAATTCTCTTTACATATGTAAGATTCACTTTACAGGAATTTTTAAATGCTATTGAATTAATGGTTACTCTATCATCATTAATAATGTGAGTGACAAATTGTTGATCTACACTAGGCTGAGGTTCTGAATGTCATTGAGGACCGAGAATGACATTTTAAGAATTGCCTAACCCTTCTGATGTTTACCTCTGAGATGACTATGTACTGTTCTCAACCTCCCAACATGCATTCATCCTTTTCCTTGGGTTTTTCATAATTCAGCCATCAACATAACACCCATATAGCCTCCACCCCACCTCCATGTGTGTGGGTCTTAACTGGTTTAGCCAGTCAACACTCAGGCCCCATCCTCCTGACCTCATGATTGGTTCAGAAAATGTGACCAATTGGGCCAATCAGACACTCAGATAGGGGCTTACCAGAAAAAAAAAAAGTTTATCTGATCCTCCAAGAGAACTGCTACAAGACATACTGTAACTTCCTGCTAAATATGAATTAGGGGCAAATAATTCCCACTAGCTGTGGGAGGCCATCTTATGGCACCAGGAAAGACATCAGGAAAAAAACGGTTATTTGAGTGGCATTATTAATCCATGTCATAATCTTCACCTGACCACTACTTCAGGACTCTTAGTTATGGAATACCTCACCGTTTTAAAAGAAAGTCAGTTGGACTCATGTTTTCAGTTACATGGAATTGAAGGATTTTTGAAACAAGACCCTTGTTTTCTTTCCACTATCACTTTATTCTGACCTTGGTATCGAAGGAAAGCAGAAACCCTGCTCAATTTCTATCTTCTCTGTGACAGCAAACAAAAGAGTGAATCACAAAGGTGAATTGCAGTTTTATTAGGCAATGGATTTTAAATAATAGCAGCTTTTAAAGGAAAAATGAGCAGAAATGTATATTATATGTGAGCAAAAATATGTGATTTTATACAAACACACACAATATTTCGTGACTTTGCTCTCTTCTGCTTTTCATCATGCAGAGGTGCTCCTGGATTCCTGGGAAGGTGGTGCCAATGTCAGGCTGTTTGACAGAGATTATTATTCTGATACAGAGTAAAGCTGAAAACTTAGAGGCCTATCAGAACATCTCAGCACTCAGACCATGATTTCCTAATTCTCCCTGCATAAATGGAAAATCAAGAGAAAAGAAGAGCAGAGAATAAAAAAGAAAAAAGAAATGAGCACATAGCTCCATTAAAAAAAAGAAGAAGAAGAAGACAAAAATCAAGGGCCAGAGAAAATGATTTTTAATTGTCATTTTTCTTTTTATTCTTTTGTCCTTTTACAGTCTCAGTCGTGTATAGACTAATGAGAAAAAATGAAAATGAGTTTCATTAGACAGACCACTTTTGTTGGACTCAGTCTTGAGTTGATCAAATGAGGCAGCTGAACTGAGACCAAATCTTCCCTGTGATTAGCTCAACTCTTGAAGTAGCCAGGCACCTGTGAGGATACAGGGGAGGAGAGAAGATAATAATTGGTCTCTCGTCTTTTATAATTATGTGTGTTTCAAGTGGATGTGAACTGTGGGGTTTGAGCAGGCTACATAAAAGGGGAAAATTCTAACGTGAACACTTCAGTCATTAACTCTAGTATTCAAAAGGAAAGGAAGATAAAATTTTAAACAATAGGAGACTTGCGAAATAGAAGCCTTAAAATAATAATGTTTACTGAAAATTAGGACAATTGTTCATTAATTTTATATCTTACAGCATCTTCATCATACTAAATAGTTACCATAGCTATCGACTGGATGAGAATGAACTGTTTTGTCTCTTTTTTATACAAAAGCCTCTAAAGTCTCAAAAAAAAAAAAGATAACAATTTCTTCCTTTTTATATTTCACTTTTGAAGTAAAAATGAACAATCAATGAGAAGATTTCAATGGGCTATTTATATGTGTGTGGATCATGAGAGAAATTTAATAAAATGTAAGGTATTACAGAAAACATTCTCTTTTTAAATATAAAACATTTCCAAAGAGTCTGTGACTGTGATGTTCATTCTCCTCTCTTTTTTTTTGAGCTCCTAAGCGGGAATCGATATTTTGCCCATAATTAAAATATACTTTTAACAAATGCATGGGTGAGCGAGAGGTGTGGTTTAACTAGGGATTTGGGATACAGACAGCTTTTCTATTCTTAAGTGGAAAAAATGACTGACTGTTCTCCCAATAAATTACTTTTTTTCCAAGATACTAGAATTAATCATTGTAATCCAACATAAGTAGTAATAATTTATATTTGAAAACATACTTTAATAAAGCAAGATGTTTTTTAAAAAAAGCAAGAAGATATAATGCTACAAAAAAGCAAACAAGAAAGTATAATTCTACCAGACTGTAATCTCCATTAGGACAGGTGATTTGGTTCACTGATGTATTCTGATCACCTAGAACGTTGTCTGGCACACGTTATTGATACTGAATGCTTCATCAAGTACTTGTTGAAAAAATGTAAATATATATTTTCACAACATACCAGTCTTAGTGACCTTGAACTCTACCCACAGGTAGCCTTTATCTACCTGTGGCGTTCTACCAGGTTTGTGTAGGACAGTTATGTAATCTCATCATGGGGATCACCATGTCTAGACAAGAGCCCCTTGGAGGAGTAAATACTGCTAGACCTAGAGCAACACTGACATAAAAACAAAAACAAACAAAACAAAAAACACTTGGTCTTTCTTCTCTTACAGATTGCCACTTCAGAGAGAAAGAGTTCCCACTGCCTGCTTACAGCCAGCCAGTTAGAGGAAAGGCCCTAATTATCTTTCCAAGTTCTGGCACTCAGACTCTCTATTTCTTCTTTTGGCTCCAGACCAAACAAAATGTGAAAAGGGAAAAAAAAAAAAAAAGACAAGAAAAAAATGCAACAGGGCAATAATGTTTTCTGCGTAGCACACAATCATAAAATTACTTCCTTTCTACACAATACTGATATTAACTTTCTTACAGTGATCAAAAGTTTGAGATTTCATACAATGCTTAAATTTATGAATAAAACCCTATTAGCATACTGTGTTTCCTTATTACAACAGAAAGTCTTTCAAAGGAGACATATCCATCTCCAGTTGCAAAATCATGTTATTCTATTGCCAGAGATTAATTTTAAACATATTGAAATGGATATAAAACATTAACTCTGTATTCTGTATGTTCCCCATCAGGGACTACCTTTCTGTTTTGAAATCAGAATTAATGTGTCTTTTCTCTCTCTTTTTGGCCTTCCTTATTCCTCCTCCCGTTATCCCCACTTCTCCCCACACAACTCCTTGAACTTATCTTTTATATTCATCTTTTTCGTTTTCTCTATACATTAATATGCACAAGTTCCCATCTTCCTCCTCACAATGACCTCACTGTTTTTTTTGTTTTGTTCTGTTTTTGTTTTAGCATTTACTACTTCCCTTTTTAACAATAAAGATGTTGGAAAAGATGATATGTGTCTTTCTATTTTTCCACTTCTCCTAAGTGGTAGCTTCTTTAAAGCTATCTCCATTGGTAGGGCAGATCTATATTACTAGAGAAGAAAGACATAAACCTCACCTACTTACATTTATGGAAAAATACAAATATTTCTCTCTTTTCTACTGAACTAGTCACCTAAAATGCCTCAAATCCAAAATTCAGAGCTCACAGCACAGTCTTCTTAGACCTTATTAGATTTTATGAGAGTGACTCTCAATTAGCAAGTGAAAGGGTGCGTAACTTGTAGAGTAAACCCATTCAAATTTCTTGAAATATACAATCATGTAAAATTTTACACCAACCACTGAGCCTTCAACAAGAAAATGTTTACTGAATGGATAAATCAATGAAGTGAGGATGCAGCAAATCATCTTGGCTGAGGTATGGAAAGTGAATTGGAGATTAGACAAGATGGAAGTAATAAGACCAGTTAGGAGATTTTAATAACATTGAGGAGGTAAGTAGTGATTTTTTAAAAGGCAGTGGAAATGGAAAGCAAGGGCTAGGTATATTCTAAAATTAGAATCTCCAGAATCTGTTGCCAGAATGAATTTTGGGCAAGCTTCCAGAGGTTAATAAGGACAGGACTCACGATACCCACTGGTATTCACCTGAAAATAAAGATTGCAAAAAATCATGTGAATATTATTAAAACAAACATGGACTTTTATAAGATTACAAGCCTTAGCATGCATAAGTATGGACTCACTAAATCATCTACTCCCCTAAACATCCTTCTACATACTGACAAGGGTCAATTTTCCTGTGTTGACAAAAAGAGTCAAATTCTAAAACATCTGAAGAGATATATTCTGAGCCAAATATGAGTGACCATGGCCCGTAACACAGCCCCAGGAGATCCTGAGAACATGTGCTGGAGGTGGTCGGGCTACAGCTTGGTTTTATAGGAGGGGTGGGAGGGGCTTTCATGTCATAGGTGGATTCAAAGATTTCAAAGATTTTTCTGATTGGCAAGTGGTTGAAAGAGTTTAAGGAAGGAAGTGTCTGGGTTAAGATAAGATTTTGTGGAGACCAAGATTCTTATTAATTAGGTAAGGCCTCCAAGTAACAGTCTTCAGAAAGAATAGATTGTAAATATTTCTTATCAGACTTATAAAAGGTGCCAGATTCTTAATTTTCTCCTGGATCAGGAAAAAGACATGGCAAGGGGGGAAAAATTTCTGTACAGAACATAGATTTTTCCCCACAAAGACAGCTATAAATATATATTGGGGGTAAAATACTTTCATTTCTTTCAGGGCCTACTAGCTGTCATTTTGGCATTTATTGGTATGAAGAGTCTGCTTTGTTAATCTTAGGGTCTCTTTGTTTTAATGTTAATGCTGGTCAGTTGTGCCTGAATTCTGAAGTGAGAAAGGCATAATGAGTCATGTTCAACCACTCATTCCCATAGTGGCCTGAACTAGTGTTTCAGGTTTATTTTGGAATGCCCTTGGCTAAGAAAAGGGGTTCATTCAGTTGGTTGGGGCACTTTGAATTTTATTTTTGGTTTATACCTGTGTCTTTCTACTTGTTGCTTGTATTTAATGGGCCATACTTCACTATACTTCTTTTGCTCATTAAATTCAAAGTACTCTTTATTTTAATTCTTTCAATGTTACTGACTCCTACTTCAATCATTTCTTCCTGTCAGATCTTCAGAATTTTCATCACATCCTCTTTCTATCATATCCTAACTCTCCTACTCCCTTCCCTTCAGTTTCGCCAGGACACACAACAGTATAATAAAATCAGAGGTCAAGAGAGTATGTTTAATTCATTTGTATTGGTTTTCATGGAATCAATTTATGCTCATGTATTTTAAATTATATATACTATTTCCAAGCTTGCTTTACTTTTTCTTTTTCCTTTTTCTTTTTCACTATCCCTGACCTAGATTCTATGCACCAGCTGTATTCACCTGGAACTCAGATTAAAAGGAAGAATGTGCATTCCCTTCTCCTTTTGTGCCTCAGGTCACAATCTGGAGAATTCCTCTACAGAGAGAAAGGCTGGAAAACATATTTCTAATTCTTAGAAGGAGGTAATTAAATAATTTTCTTTTATGATACTGTCTTTGTTCTCTTCTTGAAAGGAAAGAGCATCTCCTTTATCACTTTAAACAGGGCAAACTAGTATTTCTAACCATCCTCCAAAAGTTAATTAACATGTAAATACTTGTCAGTAAAAGGTAACATTTCAACAATTAGCATATAAATGGGCCAGGGACAATATTCTGCCATAAAGGAGACAGCTTGGAAGATTTTGCCAAATGTATTTGGAAAGAAAAAATATAAAATAAAATAAAGGCTTCATCATTTCCATGCAAACAGTTATGAACTAGAATGTCAGCTGAAGCCTGGGGTAAAGGGAGAACTACCCTGCCTAGATTGAATGAAGTGAAGTTTGCATACACAACATGGTTTTATGTACATGTTTACTCAAGTAGCAATGATGGAAAGTGACTAATTGTTTATGTCCAGAAAAACACATCATGTTTGTTTGATTTTAATGAATACCATCAGCGAAGGAAACAGAAAGCCATAGGTGGGAAAAGAATTTAGGGGCTAATTTTTCCATATTGGCTGTAATGATTAGTACACTCACAAAATTGCACATGCAGGGAATGCTTCTACTCAGCCCTGAATTTGTATTTCAAATGAGGTAATTGTGCACCTAATGATCCGTTTGCACAAGCAATTACCTGATTGGCATATGCCAGGTGAGCTTGTGAGAGATAATAGGGCAAATGTACTTTTTTTTTTTGCTTTGCATCCATGGTATTCTAGTTTGAAAAATAAAATAATTACAGTCATATTACATTTGTGACATTTTTATTGGAATCATGACTTTATGTGTGAATGGAATGCTCAAACTAATGAATGAAAGATCATTAACCCAAAATAAGAATGAAGTGACCACACCACCAAAGATACTTGTTATTTTATATTTATTGTTAAAACTACAACATAGC